GGTTTTTACTTCCGGGGTTATGGCCTGGGTCACTGCCTGCAGACCAAGGATGGCACTGCTGTGGAAGGAGCCAGCGTGTTCACCCCACCGCCACCTCCGATTACCATGTTTGATGGAGGAGTGCTTCACAAGCGTTTCGTGGACCGAGCCAAACGAATTGACACCATATCCAGAGCCGTTTTCCCCCTGAGCTTTCTCATATTTAACATCTTCTACTGGGTCACCTATAAAGTGCTGCGACATGAAGACATCCATGCAAATTTGTAAAACACTCTGCCAGTCTGGGATGTTGTTGTTTGTTTGTTTGTTTGTTTGTTTTCTCGAAACCAAAACTGCCTGTCAATCTACATTACAGTGAGGAACCGTGTCAAACGGCACATCTGCTTCTCAGAACCACTGCTAAAAATAAAAATGTTGTGCTCAGGTGCGTCTTCAGGATCGTGGACATAGAGCAGAAACTCGATTATGCTGCGTGGTTTCTGGCTGTTGTGTGCATTCCTGTCTTGGATTGAGTTGCCTGGATTACAGCAGAGACGAGACACTGACGGTACTTCTGGGTTCATGACCTTTGCTTCAAAAGATGGATAAATGATTTCAGCGAAGTTGGTCCTGGCTGAACAAGACATTCTGACTTGAATTTTGACACTACCCAGCTTTGAATGAATGTTTTTGAAAATATTTTTTTTAAACAACTTTAACAAATGGGTGCAAACAGTCCGGGCGGGGCGGGGAGGGGGCTCTTTGATATTTCTGACTATTCAGTACGTGATGATCATTCAGTTTAAGTATCTGTAACAAGAGATTATACATAATGGTGTATAAAAGTGTATATAACAAAGCTGTTCATTATACTGCACAAAGCACAAATATGTATTTCCTTTTGTCTAAATTTAAATAAATTAAATAAATTGTTATTCTGCCAGGAAAACAAATGATTTTGCTTCTCTTTAACCTTAGTATTCAAATAATTCGTTTTGGGGGGTGGAGGGACAATGTAGTCAAAGAAATCAGTCACAGAATAGCTGAATCGCACACAATTACGTTTCTGTTGCATTCATTTAATAGCAGCAATCAGCTCTAAAAGCCCAAGTGGAAAGAAATTTAAAAAAGGTTCTGAATAAAGAATTATTACAAATGTTACAGATGCAAAATCCTAAATTGACATTAAGATTGTTGGAGTTTGATTCGTGATAACATGCCACTTGCATAATAAATCTTGCAGGAACTCACTGAAAGATTGCATAAGGGCTGCTATCCTCAGGAGTGGTTTGGAAGGTGTGGAAATTCAGGGATGCAGTAGAGGGAGAGCATCGGCAGTGAGGGAGGACGAATGGGTTTTTTAATGGGAAATCAGAGGGTTGTTTTATCAACTAATGAGTTTGAAAAGGGCTTGGTGTTCCACTGCTAATGACAATGAATTCAGAGAGGCAGCCAGAGCCTACTGTCCTTTTGTTGGCAATCCTAATCAACTCCTCTGTATTGTATGGTTCCCCTGGTAATGAAAATGCGTGTGTGAGAATCCTTTAGTGTATGTGTGTGTTTCATCTGCCTGCTCTTATATCAATGGGGTTTGTGCTTTAAACTTTACTGGGTTAAATATTATCCTATATGTTGCTATTTTTGGAATCAAAATCGAGCGTACTGGATGAAAGGCTCAAATAAGGAGCTACTGTTATATAAATGTAAAAAGCATTTACACGCTGGACTCTTTGCCTCAGCTTGAAGGACACGTACCTTGAAGTCCTTCATACTTGCTTGTGACAGCTTAAATTTCTAAAACAGTCTGCAAGGGCATGCAAATGTCAAAAGTGTTGACTGTTGCATGCCATGGCTAATGCATTTCCCTTCCTTTAATCTGCAGCCTTTAGGACATTAGTTTGAGGAAATTTGGGGAAATAAGCTGATTTGCTTTTTTGCCTCTAGTTAATTGAGATTAGAATCCTTCCCATGTCTGACTCTATTTAAACAAAAGTCACAAATTGACACTTTACATCTCATCTGTTTAATCCATGGTGGCTGTGGGTGTTTGTAGTGGATCCCTTGGGTAAGCTAGGAGGGTGTGGACTGTGGCTCATTCAATCAGACTGGCATCTGGGGAGTTTCTCATTTCTACGGTTCGGCCCATCTTCTTGTAACTTTAGGCACTCTTGAGAAGTTTTTTGTGTGATGTAAGGTGTGTTTTCCTCCTAGTTAGAGACTGTTGCCATTGATGAGTGCAGTTGCCATGCGGGGCTATGCTCGTAGATGGTGGGTCCACATGAATCCCAAGAAGAAAGCTCCGACAGCAGAACGTTGCATTTAAACAAAGTATGAACACCAAGGATTGAGGTAGAGAAAAGTGTCTATCCTGTGGCTGGTTAGTGAGCAGTTGTTGACAGTGGCTAACCTGAAATAGAATATCCCGAGGCATACTGAGCTGCACTTTAAACCACCTTGCAACTGCAGGTTGCAGGTTGCTGTCATTGCCTGTAGTTTGCATGGAAAATCTTGACTTGCAACTGTTTGCAAACGACCCGTCTGGCCTTCAGAGTAACGTGTTGAGGTGTGTTGGTTGCAGCAGTGAGGCAAAACCATGACTTTAAAGGCCAGCATTCTCTATTTCCACTTTTTCCAGTTTCATTACAGCTTGGCAAGTAGTTTATGCAGCCAAGTTTCAAGGCTGCGATGTTACTGAAGTAGACCTCTCCACTGTGTGTGCTGTGCTGTTGATTCCTTTTGGACCATTTTAATGAGGTTTTCTGACAAATAATAATAATTTGTGCTGTACTTTTGGTGAGTAAAAATCCAGTGTTTTAACAGTCTAAGGAAACAAAACTAATAAATAAGGAAGACTAAAAAAAGTTTGTGCATTGTACCCATATGGCTGTTGTTTCCTTTTGCACTTTCCAGTCCAAATATGCTGTTTTGGCGTAAAACCAGATCTAGTTGCATTCTAATGTAGATCTGTGTAGATTTCAGTGTTCCTGGCTGCAAAAACAAAAAACATAGCCAGTTTGCAGAACCGAAAACCAATTTCTCAATACAGACATTCAGAATTGACATTGTTGATGCCCACACAACAAAAGGTCAAATAACATTTTGAAACTCAAAACACTAACCAAAATTTCTCACATCCGAAACAAATAGTATCGCACAGCGTCGCCTCCTTTCACTGTAAGTCAGAGATGGGGTTATTTTGACTCTGAGGGGGGGAAACAGCACATTTGTTACAAAATAAGAAGCTTTTCTAAATCTTCAATTGACTGACACACGCAAAATAGGCCCAGTGATTTCTGGCACATTATGCTCTATTGCCTCTTCAAGAAAACAGCATGTCCGCTCAAAATGTGCGTTATTTTGAGGACAGAGGAAGACTGATGGATTCCAATAAAGCAAGATCTTTGCTATGCTGGCTGGATTTGCACCCTAACTTTCATTACACACAAATTCCCAAGAGTGCGATGACTTTAACAAAAACCCTAAACCCATGCACCAAACAAGGCACCAAAAAGAAAACCAAAGCCATTAAACCAACTGATTTATAAATTAGTCCCAACGGACGGATGGACCCAAATGAAAACATAAAATATTCATTGTTCCAACCGGATTTACATGCATCCAGTCATGTGCTATGTGTGGCTGTTTATTTGAAGGCATTCTCCAGGGAATGCTCAACGCTGACAAATGACACACATGACTTTAAGCCATGTGATTGTGTAACATACAGTCAGCACGGGAGAAAGGAATATGCGTTTGATGGAGCTGCTGGTCATCATGTTCGAGGTATGCCTTCACTGTCTCCCTTGGGAGTGATTAACAGCTTTCCCCCCCTCCCCATTTTCACTGAATGTCAGTAGAGCTAAAACTGAAGAGTGCAACCTAAGACCTGCAATCAATACTCTTCTCTCAGAGTATAAGCATTTCACCTGTTCTCTGCAGACAGAATTGTACGTGCCTTCAGTCGTTGGCTCTTCTCTTCAGGTCCTCATTAAAAATGTCTTAGATCAGCAAACTGCTGTTTATCTAGTTGGAAAAATGCTTTAGGAACCATCAAAAATAAACCTAGTGTAGCATAGATAGATGATATAATTTTAATCAGAGCTTATGAGTTAGATCACTGTTACCAAGCATTTATCACAGAAAAATACCCTGTTTGTATAAGAACCTTCATAGCAGAATGCTAGATAAAGAAATATAGCATCTAAGGGGAAAATATTGCCTTCTGTTGACAGTGATGCATTGGTGAGACAATGCTACACGTGTCACCTTTAAATATATGAGAGTAAACAGAGGAAACTGCTGGTTCCACACAACATTATGGCTGCAAATCTTGTGAATGTCACCCAGCATTTGGATAGAGACGTCCTTGCACTTTAAATACACCTTTTTCTTCCCCCATAGGCATACTTGTGAATTCAGTACTATGTAGGTGGTTCAATGGTTTCATGCAAATATCCTGTCTTTCCTCTACTGATGATCCATTATACAATGACACACATGCAGCTGGATCTATGTGACTATTTGGTGCCCAGTAGGCTTTTCAGTGTATTCATTATTCTTTGGGTTGTAGTGCAATCAAAATCCCCCTGACAAACACTTCAAGGGAAGGTTTAATTTCAGATCCTGTGCTTTTTCTGTTTTGTGAAATGCCCCATCCTTTGGAAATAGTGCTTCAGATCTCCTGAAAATCCACAGCAGGTACTCAAGAAATATGATATATGGAAAACGGCTAAAAGGGAGATAAAATAAACAGAGTTTATCATCTCCAAGTCTAGACACAGTAACTTCCTTTCAGTCAATACAACACGATACTCAATTTAACTTATATAGTGCCAAATCATCACAGAAAAT